GCCAGGAGAGCTGTGGCCCAGGTGGGCAGCTGCTTCCCTGCACTGGACCTGTCCAGGTGGACCTTCCAAGGCCGGGCCAGCCGTGCAGAGCATAAGCAGCACGCTGGTCCTCTCCAGACGTACCCTCTCTCCCTGCGGGGGCAGTGGTCAGGCTTGGGAGCTCATTGTCACAGGAGTCTCTACCTGGCCCAAGTGAACTGGTTACAGAGGCAAAGGGAGTGACCACAGCATTGGCAAGGAGAACCAGAAAGCACATCCACCCTGCCTGGGACCCAATGAAAGCTGTAAGCGGACAACTGCCTGGCAGAGACAAGCCCTGGGCCCCAGGAAACCTCCCCATCCTGGGTGAGAGGAGTGGGTGGGGAGAGGGGCTGCCCCTCCCGGGCTCTAGGCTCCTCCCCAACAGGGCCTCTCTCCCTGAGCTGCCCTTGGGGGCAGAGCCAGCAGAACCAGCCATGTGGAGCTGGAACCTGCTCTGGTCGGTTCTGCCCAGGGCCCCCACCTCAACCCTCTCCGGCAGCTCACTCCCAGGCCCCTAAGCCTCTGTGGGCCGGGAGCCAGGGCTGCGTCCACACTCACTCAGAGCTGGGCAACCCAGGCAGCTGGGCTGCAGGGTGGCTGACAGCAGTGAGGGCCTGGGTCCAGAGGCCCCGGGGGGCATGGAGCAGGACAAGGGGACTCCTCTAAAGAGGAAGAGGAGGCTGTCCTGACTTTCCCAGCCCACAGCTGCCCTCCAGGGGACAGAGAGGGGGTGTGACGGGGGTCCGTGCCAAGGAAGGGCGGCAGCCTAGGCCTTCGCCAGTTTGGGGAGGTGAGGAGAGGCGACAACTATGCGACCCACTGCCAGGCAGTGGCAGCCGCCCCGGAACCACGGGAGAGGCACCCAGCTGAGGGGCAAGGGACAGCTCAGCCTTGACCCACGTGTCTGCTGGGCACAGACTCGGCACACTGGATACCGGCCCGGACAAGCCCCCGCCGGCGGCGCGGCCCACCCCACCTACCCGCGCCGCGGGATGCCCTATTAAGGGCATGACAGCGGGGGCTCCACCGAGCGCGCCTGCCTCTTCCCTGGGCGCCGGCGGCTGCCGGATCGGGCGAGGCAGGCGGGGAGCTGGGCTCTGTCAGGGCCGCGATCGGGACGGCCACCGCGGACCAAGTGTCAGAGGCGGGCTGTCAGGCTGGAGGACGTGCCAGGGCCCGGCCGGACGGCAGGTCGCCCGCAAGGTGGGCGGGGGCGGCGGCGCCTACCTTTGTACTTCTCCCGCACCTCCTCGTAGGCCTGGATAAAGTCCCGTTCGTCGGGCAGCGGGCCGGACGGCAGCGGCGCAGCCATGCCGGCGGGCGCGGGACACGGCGGGGCGCTGCGGCGCAGAGCCGGCCTGCAGCCCCCGGCGGCCACTCTGTCCCTGCGGCCGCGCGCGCCGCGCCGCTTAAAGGGGCCGCCCCCGCCCCGCCCCCGCACCCAGGATGCCCCACGGGCGGGGCGGGGCCGGGGTGCGGGGCCCAGGGGAGCCTGCGGCTCGGAGTCTCGGCCCCACGCGCGTCCCAACGGGCGCACACCCTTTCCCGCTCCCGACCGGGTCGCGGGCCCGCCCACCGCCTGAATTCCCCTTGCCGGGCTCCCAGCCCCGCAGCGGCCCCCTCCCTCACCAGCCCCCACCTCTCTGGCGACCCTGCCAGATCCAGCGACCACACCTGGCCGCCCCCGGCACGCCCCTTCCCTCCCTCTGGGGCCTCCGCCGCTACTTAGAATCCTCCGTTGCAACGCCAGAGTTAGAGTTGGTGTCTGCAATATAAAAAGACCCCTTGAAACACAAAAAAATTTTAACTACCTATAAAGGGCTGAAATAGAGATTTACAGGCGAAAAAAATGCTTGGTAAAAATAAAATACAAATTCTTTTCCATCCATCAGATTGGCAAAGCCCCCAACTCCCAGCGATGACAAATGTCCTCCTTTGTGGAACATCCCTGGCAATATTCTTCTCTAGCCTTAAATGCTGCAGACCCTGTGACCAGAAGCCCACTCCTAGGAATCAGTCCTAAGAAAGTTGTCAGGCGCTGGAACAAAGGCATGCCAGGGGGCGCTGGCTGCAGGTGGCTCATGGCAGTGAGAGCTGCGGACCGCCACCCAGGGCAGGGGCTGATGCTGAGGAAGGTCCAGGCCTGCGGAAGGACGTTCACGATTCACTTTCATGTGGGTAAAAAAGGACCTCGTTCCTTGTGATAGATGAATGAGACTGGCAGCTCATGCACCACCAGGATACTCGTGCCCGGGGTGGGGGCGGCCCTGCTCCTCTGCATTTTCACAAGCTTTTGCTTGTGCTTCCACCCACAAATGTCCTTGCTGACTGCAGCACCATCCTCGCTCAGCAGCTGGCTTCCAGGCCTCTCCCCACATGCCTTGGTCCACCCTCCCCACCTTCTGCAGGGGCCAGCCCTGCCCTCCAGAGGCCTAATCATCACCAGTCCTAGTGGCGTAATGGGATTGGTACTCCACAGCCTGTGCGTGGAGACCCTCAACTGGCTCCTGCCTTTCCCAGCACATCCTGCCTTATGGTCTCCAGGCCTAGGTCACCCACTTCTCAAAGGAAGGGGCCGCTGTCCAGCTGCCAGCCCTACAATGTGGAGAGCCTCTCGCTGGGCCTTTCCTGTCCTCCTCCCCAGAACAGCAGCTACTAGAGGGCAAGGCCAGACCCTGGCTCAGGAAGGGGCTGGGGCTCTCCTGTCCTGCTCCTACACGCTTCCACCCACACCCAGTGGTGGCAGCCAAGACCAGGGGGCTTGGAAGGCAGCTCTGCCCCAGGAGCCCAAGAAAGTCATCATGGCATCTGGGCACTGGACCCTTGTCATGAGGCCAATGATGGCGCAACCCCAGCAACCCCAACCTCAGGCCTCATGCAGCTGACTAGGTGGGGCCAGCAGGTGGCGCTCTGCTATCTGCACTAGAGGCCCTCTTTGACCTGCAGATCACTCTCAGGTCTCTCATCCCAGTCCTAACACCTGCACGTCACGCACAGCAGGTATTCAGTCAACAAGCAAGTGGTTATGAATTGGACAGACAAGGCCATTCAGTGTTACCTGCAATGCGGATGACTGCCCGCTCGGCAGGGTCCAAGACACTCCCATTGCCCCCAGAGCCACCTCCACTTCGCCGGCTCCACTGCGTTTTCCCCAGGTTCCAGGGCAGTGTGTCCCCAGGGCTGGGTGAGCCACTGCCTCCGTTGGAGCCATCCTCAGCCACTGCCCACACCTCGTGGTCCTCGCCTGACATGGCCTCCTGGAGAGGGAGCAGGAGGGGGGTCACACCTCTGTGGGGGGGATACTGCACACTGACCCACCCCCTTCTTAACCTAGACATTGACGTCATCCCATCCACCTTATCACCTGGACACTGACACCCATACCCCTCCTATGTCCTGCCTCATCCACATACTGACCCTCTCCCCCCATGCACAACTGGCTTCCCCCCTCCAGCTCATCCCTCAGACACCACACAGTGACCCCCACTCCCAGATACTGACCTCATTCTCTCCAGTCTATCACCAGGACATTGACTGCCCCCCCAACACTGACTGCCACTCCCCTCTCTTAGTCACCCAAACACTGACCTCTCCACACTGTCACCCAGGGGTTCACCCCCTCAGAGGACACTGACTCCACCCTCCACCGTCTACCCTGTCAAACAGGAGGAGAGGGAGCGATTATCTTCACTTGGACACTGCCGCCCCGCTCCACCCCATCACTCAGACACTGGCCTCCACCCCCTCCATCCCAAACCTGGACCCTGTCTCCTCTAATCCTTTCATCAGCAAGCCAGGCCATGAGGAAACACTGATCTCCACCCCTCTCCCCACTCGGACGTCAGAGAAGTACCCTGACCCGATCCCTGGACTCTGGCGCTCCACCTACAAGCTGTCTCAGCTTCTAGGACCCCCATCGCTCTACCCAGCTCCAGCCCTGCGCAGTCCCACCTTGCTCTCTGCAGTGAAGGCCTATAAATAGCTGGAGCCGCAGCGGCGGGGGCCGCGGGAGCTCGGCTGTGGCGAGGCTGGGAGGGAGCCTGGGCGCCCCTCCAGTAGCCCACCCTGCGTGGCACGCACACCTGCACACCCACGCGTGCACACTCCTCAGCTCTCCGTCCCCAAGAACGCTGGCATGCAGGAGGTGAATGGGGCTCTGTCCCGACGGGGGTGGGGTGGCGTGGGGGCACAATGTGGGCTCCGTGCCTCCGCCCTCAGGCTAAGGGCTGGGGAGGAGACAGCAGGCACCGAGCTGGGGGGCCACCCCACCCCGCCTCACACAGGCTCCTGCACCGGCCGCCTCCGCTCCAGCACCCCGCCGGGGGCCCTCCGGCAGCCGCGCCTCCCCAGCAGCCTTTCCTGCCCACACCCCGGGCACCGCCCGTCCAGTTCCGCAGTCTCGGGCGCGCAGAGGTGGTGCCCTCCCGAGGGAGGATGGCTGCAGCCCGCGACGCAGCCTCTAGTTCCGGGACGCCTGCGGCAGCAGCCCCCCACCGGCGGCTTCCGCACGCTGCGCGCCTCTCCGTCCCGGCCTGGGTCTTACGTGCCTGGTGGCTCAGCTCGGTTCGGCCGCCGCAGCCACACTGCCGGAGCCGGGAGAGCTGCGGGTCGACGCGGGCGGGGCGAGCACGGAGCCCCGCCCCGGCCCCAAACTGAGCGCCGCCCGTGCGATCCGGGCGCCCGTGTGCGCGCGGGCCGGGGCTCCCCAGGCGGCTGGGCTAGAGCGCGAGTGAGGCTCGGCCCGGCACTGCCCCTCTGCGCGTACAAGGCGGGCCGGTCGGCAAGAAGACGTCGTTGCGGGAGCGTGCGTGACACCATGGCGACGTGGGGTCGCTCGGGTGCGCGCTGGGTCCCGCCTCGGCCGGCTGCCCAGGGCCGCCCCAGAGGCGCAGCGGACTCTGACCCCCGGCCCCGCCCCTAGCCGCGCCAGGTCCCTCGCCCGCCAAACAGAGGTCGGACCCGGAGCTCCAGCGGGCCCCTCCGCCTGGTTTCACGTACACGTTTATTCAAACGGCGGAGTCGCGCTCCGGAGAGGTCTGGCCGAGGCGGACGGTGTCGGGCCGGCCCACCCTCTTCCTGGGCTCTGCTGACCCCTGGTGGTTGGGCCGGCCCAGGCGGGGACCCGGCCCAGGCGGGGACACGGCTCCAGCCCTCCTCGTCCGCACCGCCGGCCCCTGCGCGACAGCAGGAGGCAGGGGCGCCCCCAGGGGCACCTCAGGCGGCCGAAGGGGCAGGAAGCCTGTGCGAAGCCGGGGAAACAGGAGGCCAGAGCCTGGGCCGAGGGGGCTCTCTAGGGTTAGGTGGCTGGGGAGTGGCCCAAGAGCCCAAAGGGTTCCCCGGAGGGAGACGGGGGCACGTGCTCGCACGTGATGAGGTGGGTGGGCAGCGCCTGGGTGTCGTGGAAGATGACGAAGATGCTGGGCTGGCGGAGGCAGTCCACCGCGCTGTCGTAGCGCAGGAGCACGTGGCCAGGGGCCCGCGGAGGGGGTGCCCGCAAGTCCTGGCGGCCCTGGCCGTAGTCGCCGGTCAGTACCCGCGCCACGAACACGGCCTTGTGGCCGTCAGCGTTGGGGGGCGAGTAGCGGTCCTGCACCGACAGGGAGGCGCGCTTGGCGAAGTATACGCCCTGCCCGTAGAGCGTGCCTGCGGGCGGGACGGGCGAGGGTCAGACTCGTCCGGGTCGGCAGAGCCCACGCCCCTGCGGGGCCCAGGCCTCACCGTTGCGGCCGCAGAAGCTGCGGTTGAAGCCATGCTCGCAGATGTCCGGGACGGCCTGCGCCGATGTGCCATGGTACAAGACCTGCTCGGCTGGGCGCCGCTCGCAGTGCTGCTCCAGGCGCTCCCGGTGCAGCTCGTACTGCTGCTGCAGCAGCGGGTTCGACACTCGCTCCACCTGCGGGGAGGCAGCGTCAGGGACAGGCTATTGGAAGACCCGACCTACCCCGGACAGCCTGGACAGAGCTGAGCAGGAAATTAGGAGCCTTCTCCTGGAGGAGTTCAGGGTCTGGGGAGACCTCACAGCTCCAATCGTGCTCTGTCCAGCAGCAGACATTAGGTAGACGTTAGCCCCTCGATGGGCCCCGGAGTGGCGCTGGAGGGCTTCCAGGGAGGCCTGCCCCCTCCAGGAAATCTGATCTTTCCAGGGAGGCCTGCAGGTGGGCAAACCCAACCACTCACCAGAACTCAGCACCCACAGCCATGCCTCTGCAGAGGAAAGCTGAGCTGGGTGCCTACACAGCCCACAGGATTTCACTCCCAACATCAAGAGATGCCCCCGGGGCCCCTCAGTGCTGGGGAGACCCAGGTGACCAACCCAACAGACAGCAGTGGAGGAGCCAGCGCAGGGACTCACACAGAGCTTCCAAAGAATTCTAACTACTCTCTTCAGAGGGGTGCAAAAGAACTTTATATCCATAAAACAAGATTTGCTGCTGTGAAAAAGAAAATTAGAGAGTTCTTACAGTAAGAAGGAAATTGCTGAACTAAATCCAGAGAATAGGCCAAATAATAAGATGATGAAGATGGAGATAAGGAAGTGACTCAGAGTGCAGAGCTAAAGAAAAGAGATGGAAGCTGCGAGAGGACAGATGAGGGAGAGGGCGGCAGACAGAGGAGATCTAAGGTCTGCGGAACAGGAACTCCACGAGACGATGACAGACAGGTGACAGGAGCAAGTGAGAGCACAGCGGAAGCTGTGCCCTAAGCTGAAGGTAGCATCTCCAGATGGAAAGGATCCATAAAATGGCAAGTAGGGTGACAGGGCAACACACATCCCCGGCACCTACCTGCCGGGAAAACGTCAGCCTTCAAAGTGAAAGAAAGTATCCACACACACACCCCCCAAAGTTGACACACGAATGGAAAAAGTCTCTCATTCTCACATTGGGCTTCTCAGCACCAATAGTGGATGCTAAAAGACCATAGAGGAATTTTTTTTTTTTTAACTTTTTAAGAACATAACCTTTAAAGGGGAAAGAAAAAGAACAATGTCTTGCAAAGATCTGAAGGAAAACATATTTTGATCCTGAACACTCTTTCCAGCCAAACTATTAATGGAGAGGACAAAATGAGGACATATTTAAGATATGCAAGAACCAGCTGTGCTTATTTGAGTTCACAGAAGTGTCTTAATAAACACATAGCAACTTTTGTTTGAAAAAAAACTTTACACCAATATCAGATTATAGTTGCAAATTACCTCTAATTATAATAGGCAAAATAAATTTGAAAGTCCAACGTGTTTACTACCCACTCAAAGAGATACTTCTGCTAAACAGAAAAAGAATCCTTGCAGGAGGGTGATGACGGGGCACGAAGAGTAACCCAGCAGCCAAGTACAACACAAAAAAAATAAAGTAAAAAATTTAAGAGCTATTAGTCCTTGAATTCTAGAATCTTCTCTTTCATGCAACATGGTTTTAATAACTAGGATTTCATTTCCCTGTTTCCTTTATGGTTCAATGGTAAATATTTTTTCATTAGCATTATACATCCATCAACCTATGGCTCACACGTGGAGCTTCTGTAACGATAGTTACGGAATAGAAGACAATGTTTGTTTGTCAACCTTGATGACGTAATAAAAATAATGTCACTGACCAAACTGAGACGAAGAGGGAGGAGGAGGTGAAAGAGGGGGAAGGGATGCTCATTCTCCTCATCTTCCACGCAGGAAGGCAACAAACAGTCTCCAAAGTTGTTAAGTGAAAAAAAAAAAAAGACTCAAGTCTAAAGTCACAAAGGTGCACACTAGAAGAATCAAGTGCACATAACTAGCAGAACGAGCCAGGAGAGTAAGGGACAGGAGTGCAGCATGTCCCTCTTCTCTCAAAGCACAGAAGTGACAGCTGCTAAGACCAGAAATGGAGGCAAGTACTTTATCCAAAGTTTCAGTGACCATCTCCAGGAAAGCGGTGGTGGCAGCTGACTGGGCCAGGTCTGGGGAAGGCCAGAGGTTCTGCATTTCTGACCAGCTCCAGGTCGCTGATGCTGCTGGCCCACCCACAACTTTGTGCATCTAGAGTCAAGAGTGCCCGCCTGACCTCCCTGGCACCTCAAGCCCGGCTCTCCACTGTCCCTTCCTTCTGGCAGCCAGCCCTTTGCGATTCCTCTCTTCAGCCAAGAGCACTCAACCCTGCGCTCTGCTCCAGCTACTCCCCCCTCCTTCCTTCCATAACCCGCTCAATTTCAGACTTGTCCCTGCCCTCACCTCCCAGGCACTCTTTGTCCCCACCCTGCTCCAGCTGCAGGCACTGCCCCCAAATGCACCCGCCAGCAGAGCGGAGCAGCTTGGCAGAGCCGCCTCCTCAGTCCTTCCTTCTGGCCATGCAGACACTGTGGGCTTCACCGCCCTCCAACCTCCCCCATTGCCTCCCTGGTCCCTCTTTCTCAGCCTCTTCTTCCTTCCTGCCCCGATAGGCAGGGGCTCCTGGAGCTCCCCCCAGTTGTTCCCAGACTTTTTCTGAAACATACCCATGCTCAGAGTTGCCACATTTAGCAAGTAAAAGTGGAGGAGGAGGCTGCCGCGCAGCAGTGAGCCCTCTTTTTACTGGAGCAGACCTCATGGGAGGCAGAAGAGCCCCCAGAACAGCAAAAGGTACATATCTGTGGCATGAGCAATCTTCACAGTAGCCATGAGATGGCATCACCACCCCATGCTCCAGACGAGAAAACTGGCGTGGAGAAGGTCACACTGCCCACGGTCGGTCAGCTAGCTGTTACTGGCAAAATGGGGACCCGTGCTCAAGCCAGTCAGGTCCTGCGGCCCCCCTAACCTCTGTGCCCTCTGTCTCCCCCACCAAGACTTTGTGAATGCCCTCCGGGCAGGGAACAGGCCTGGGGAGCCCTGGGGCTTCCCTGTCCTCCGACAGCTTCCAGTCTGCCCCATGCTGGGCAGCTCCTGGCCAGCTGACTCTGACATAGGCAAGAGTGACAGGCCACAGGCTCTGCAAGGTGAAAATGGTGCCATGAGCCCAGGAGGCCATGAGGCTGGCAGCACAGAGCATGGACTCACCCGGACAATGCGGGTCCTGCTGTGGGCAGCATCCAGGGTGTCATAGAAGGCCCGCACCACCTCCTGGAACTCCTTGCTCCTCTCAGCCAGACACTCCAGCCTGCCCAAGGGCCTCTTCAGCCTCTCCTCTGGCACTGACACACAGGGAAGAAGGGGTCCAGGCCACGTCTGGGGCACTGGTCTCTAATAGCTGGCCCACCCCACCCTCCCCCAGTCGGGGATGCAGACTCACAGGTGGGGCCTGAAGCTGCCAAGGGAAGGGCCAAACTCTGATCCAGGGGGCCAGGCAGCAGTGCTGCTAAGTGGCGGGCTGCACGGGTGGGCTGGACCCCAAAGCCACGGAGAACGATACAGTCACCTCGAACAGAAACATTCACACCGTGGCACTGCTCCAGGCGGGCACGCAGCTCTGCGGGTAGCGTGTAGCCCTGGGGCCCCACCGTCTCCTCCCAGAGGTGCACCTCCAAGGCAGCCCCTAGTGCCTGCTCCAGCTCATCCATGTCCTGCTCAAAGGTCACATGCACCACCAGCTGGGCCTGGCCACCAGTCCCCCCACCCAGGAGCTCTGCTGCCTCCAACCGGGGTGGCTCCAGCAGGGAGAGGGCCAGGGCTCGCTGCAAAGCAGCAGCCTCCTCCTGCTCAGCCACCTGGCCTTGTGGCTCCAGTGACCGGTGGAGAGCCAGCTGCAGTGCGGCCTCCTCCTCCAGCTGCCCAGGAGCCCCAGTGCTGGCGGCCAGGGGCTCCTCCCCAGCCCTGGGTGCAGGCTCCTCCTCGAAGCACCCTGGAGTCGCCTCCTCATCTGGTTGCTCCTCCCCCAGCTCCAGGGGCAGCCAGTCCTCCCCCTCCAGGCCCTCCAGGGTGGCCAGCAGCTCTCGGACCTCCTCTAGGGGCAGGGAGAGGCACTGGGTCAGGGGTCAAGCCTAGCCAGGGTGGGGCTGAAAGATAGGACGAGTTTAGGAATGGGTGAAAGATGGAGAGAGGATGCAGGGTCATAAGAGAGGTGGGAGTACAGGGCAGGGCAGAGGCTGAGGTCAAGGAAGGGCCACAGGATGTGCTGCGGGTTCCCAGGGAGCCCTACCCAGGCCCACGTTCTCCTGGTCACCGCCTGTACTGTCTGGGGGCCACAGGGTGTGGGAGAGGCCAGGGAGGGCCTGGAGGGCCTCAGTGGGGTCCACCTGTCAGGAGAGAATGTCAGGGCCCACTGGGCACACACCCCTCCCAGGCCTCTGAGCAAGGGTGGAGGAGGTGCCTGGGGATGACGTGTGAGAAAGGGGAGGCGCAGGGGCGGGCTCCATCTCTACCTCTCCAGGGTCTGTGTCCAGGGTGGCCCCAGCCAGACGCTCCGTCCCAAAGACACACTGGAACTGAGCCTCCAGCCCCTGAAGCAGGTGCTGCCCCTCTGGGCCTAGCAGGAACCTGGCGCTGCCCGGGTGCTTCAGGCTCAGCACGTGACAGCTAATGCTGCCTAGCAGACTTTGCAGAAACTCCTTGGCTGCCTGGCACGGAGCCAGGGCTCCACAGAGCTGTAGTACCATGGGGGGCAGCAGGCAGATTCGTGGGTTTAGGGCACAAGAAAGGCACCCAGAGCCCCCAGTGGGAGACGAGGCCAAAGGTGAGGAATTCTCAGGAGTAACTCACCCGAAAGCCAGTCACATCTGATCCTTCGAGTGGGAAAATGGCAACATCTCCCAGACCAGCAAGAAGGTCCTCATGATAGACTTGTATGAAGCGCATTGCTCCCGGCTCCATCGACAATACCATCTCTACCAGGCTCTCCTGCCCTGGCGACCCCACAGGCCCCAGGCTCACTGACCCCACCTGCTCCGGAGACCCCATGGCGATCTCAACTGAGCCCACTGGGCCTGGAGACCCTATAGACCCCAGGCTTACCAGTCCTGCCTGCTCTGGAGGCCCCGCAGTCCCCAGGCTCATGGGCCCCTCCTGTTCTGAAGTCCCCCGGGGCCCCAAGCTGACTGGCCTGGACTGCCCCAGAGACTCTATGGGACCTGTCCTTAGAGAGGCTCCTGGTTGCCCTGGTGCCTCCTCAGAGCCCAATGTCACAGTCCCTGCACCCTTCAGTGCCCTCTCCGGCCCTCCAGCCTCTGAGAGAGCATGATCAGCGGCCCCAGACCCCAACTCGGGCAGGTGGTCCCCTTCACTGGTGTCCTCGGCAAGCTCCTCAGGGTCCAGGACGTCATAGTGGGGGACAAGGCTCAGCTCTGAGCCCTGCAGCTGGTGGTCCTGCTGCAGCACCCGCTCGGCCACTTAGAGGAAGGGAGAGGACATAAGGCCCATCAGGGCTCCGAGGGGTAGAGAGGGGTGGGCCAGGTCCATCCAGCCCCACTCACCCTGCCAGTGCTGGAAGGACACCACGGTGCCCAGGCGCCCGGGCAGGCTGCGCAGGCCCGCCAGGGGGCCCCCGCCACTGCGGCGCTCATTCTCCAGGTACAGCTCCAGCAGCAGCAGGTCTGCGGGGGCGATGCCTCCCACCACACGCACCGCTCGGGCCTGGGGCACCCGGGCCAGGGATACCTCAGCCCCCTCCAGGCTCAGGGCCCGGGCCTGCTCCTCCAGGACACAGACTTCTGTGGGGAGGGTGCATGTCAGCACAGGGCATCTCCCCCAACAGGCACATCTGCCTCTACCCCGCTTCTCACCTGCCTCAGAGAGGGGCTTGGGCAGCTGGACCAGGGCCCGATCTGGCCGGGGACTGGCCAGGGCATGGCAGGGCTGCTCCAGGTGCCCTGTGGCACGCAGCAGGGCCTGGACATGCTGCTCCAGGCGCTGGGGTGCAGTGCCAGGGGGCAGTCCTTGGAGCAGCAGGCGTGCAGGGGCGCGTGGTGGGGCTGGCCGCAGGCTCAGCCGAGCACCATCAAGTGTGTGCTCCTCCTGGGCCAAGACCCTCGCTGCATCTGTGGGCAAGAGTGGAGCAGGGTGTCAGGGTCACGGCTGGTGGGGGCCCAGGCTGTCCCCTTCCATCGGCCCCTCACCTTCAGGCTTTCGAAAGGTAAGTACACCCCCGCGGCCAAGTCTCTGCCAACTCAACACAGGTCCTCCCCCAGAGCGTCGGTGGTTCTCAAAGTAGAGCGTGAGCAGCTCATCGGGGATGTCGGGGGGCAGCCCGCTGAGCTCCACTGCCGCCCCCACCTCCACCTCTGCCATCGCCGTCGCAATGCTGGGGGCCGGACGGGGGTGGGGTTGAGGGGGGTAGAGTAGCAGCCCCACAGTCCCGCCCACCTCTCCCAGCCCCCTCTAGGCCCCTAGCACCCCCACTTCATCGTAAGTGGTGCACTCACCGGGCCATCTGGGCCACTCTAGACCAGGCCTTCAGCCAGGACTTCCGTGCCTGCTCCACAGACAGAAATTTCCTGGGACAGGAAAACAAAAGTGAAACTGTTTGAGGGAAGGAGGGAGGGAGGGGCCTGCCATGCTGGGTCTGCATGGCTGCCACTCAGGTGCTTCCCCTCCTATTCACAGGCCCCTCCTGCAGAATTTCCAACCCCACCCCCCAGCACCTCAGCCTGCAGAGCCCCCAGCTGGGTAGGAGGTGTTGGCTCGGCCTACCCCTCAGTCCAGCTAACCAGCCCCATCTGTCCTACCCTAGCCTACTGGCTGGCAGGGTGGGGGAAGTGGCCCCTGGCGGTCTTCCACTCCCACTGGCCTCTCCCTGTGAATCTCAAAATGGCCAATAACCCTCCCTACTAAAGCCACCAGGGGGCTTGAGTCATTGTCCCCCACTCAAGGACCTCATGCCTCTGTGTTCCCCTCCCCTGCAGCATGAGCAGCTGGGGTTTCCAGGCCAGCCCCTAGCTGAGGCTGGCTCTCAGCTCTCCCCAGCAACCTTCCCACACCCCGCTCGTCACCCTACATACCTAGCAGGCGACCAGGCTGTGAGTGCTGAGAGTGAGCAGCTCCTGCCCTTGACCTACAAGGGCTCTGGTCCCAGCACAGCCTTTCTCTCACCACCTCTGCTCCCTTCCTGTGGCTCTCCAATCTGTGCACCTGCCCAGTCTTCGCATCTTACATCAGCATCATTGTCTTGTCATCGTCGTCACAGCTAACCCCAGAAGCCTTGCTGCAGCGAATCCTCATCACAGAAGGGGAGACGGAGGCGCAGAGGGGCCCACAGCAGTGCTGGGCCTCACACCTTTACAGGCTGCAGCTTTACTCTCCGCACTCCCTCTTATCACCAAACACTCCCCCTTTGCCTGTGCTCCATTTGCTTCCAGCTTCTCAAAGAGCTGTGCCCACTGCTGGTCTCCATCTCCCACCTCCCATTTACCCCTCAGCCTACTGAAACCCAGCCTCCATTCCTGCTGCTTCTCCAGAGGCCTGAGAACCTGCTCAGCCTGCACCTCCAGCCGCACACCCGTCACCTTGGCTGCCCGACTCTGGGCTGAGCCTCCATCGTCTATTGCCTAGATTGCTACACTAACCTCTAACTAATCTCTTTCTGCCAGTCCCGCCTACCCCCACTGTCCACCCTCAACAGAGAGAGCAGGGTGAGCCTTGTAAAGTAGTACCAATGGCTGCCACATCTCTGGCCATGGCAAAAGCCAAAGTCACTCACAGTAAAAGCCAAAGCGCTTTGGAGGGCCTGTCAGGCTCCACCAGTCCCCTCTCTGGTCCCATCCTCACTGCACTCCTCCATGCTCAGCTGGCTCCAGCCTCTTCCTCCAGTGCGGCAGAGGACTCCCACCTCAGCACGCGTGCACTGGCCCTTCCCTCTGCCTGGACCGGCCGTTCCCACAGTGCCATCTGGCCACCCCTCCCCGTGACCCCCCTTACCCGGTTCTTAGTGGCAGATTTAATTTGAACCCACAAGTCCTTAAGGACCTTTGACTTGCACAGGCCCCTTCCAAGGCCCCAACCTTAATTTCATATTTCATTTTTAACTATTTTTCTTAAAGAGAACCCTTCAAATTGTATGAGGTTCTAGTTCTACAAAACCTGAATCCGTCCCTGTCTGCTCTATATTTTCTCCTATCCTAGCACTTATCACCTTCTAACATCTTGTATAATTTACTTATTATGCCGATACGCTGGAGCAGCTCACATCACGACCAGATTGCTAAATTTTCAGGAATTTTTGTGAGCCAGTTGTTAAACTCGTGGTAGCTTGAAATCAGCCACGATGGGAGTATTTACACCATGGGCACGTGCAAAAGGTACAGACCAGTGCTTCCCCTCGCTAAATCCAGTTGTTAAACATTGAACCAGCACACCATGGGCACAGGACAGAGCCTTTTCCGAACCACTGACAGGCCTGGGAGAGGCCAACCGTCCAAAAGCCAGGATAGCGCAGGAAGGTCCCTAGGCCCTAGGGGGAGAGGCGCAGCTGCAGGGGTGGTCCCCAGCTGTGGCAGTCAGAGCTTCCTCAGGAGGACCGCTGAAGCCAAGGGAAGAAGTTAACTTGGTCTCCAGCTCTGGGGCATCTCTAAGCCTCAGCCCCTTAGCAATGAAATAGGGCTAAGAATGCCATCCTTACAGCTTGTGAAGATGTGAGGAAGACAAGGGTAGATAAAAAAGCTAGTAAGGGCCTGGAATAGCTGGTCTCAATGACTGGTAGAGAGCATGCAGCAATTAAACGGTTAGGCCTCTTGATTTGGGATAGACTTGGATGAAAAGGGAAAGTGGTGTTTTAAGGCCAAGGAGGGATGGAGAATGCTTGGCAGCCTCAGCAAATCCCAGATTTACGAATAAATTTCTCAACGCTTTGAACCAAATTAACCAGGCTTGGCCTCTGCCTCCAGGAGTCCTCAGCGCCCATGGCCCAAGCCTACCCCTTGGCTAAGTGTGGGACGCGGGGTTCGGACTTAGGACTCGGAAAAGAGCCAAAAAGGCAGCCGCCGCTGGTAACGGCCACCCTGAACAGCCCCATATTCCCTGCGGAGCCTTGCCCGCGGC